AAAAGTCAATATAAATATTAAAATAAATAGTTCAAGTGTCAACCATGTCTGGTATAGGGCCTTGGTAAGTAGGTGAACATCCAACGAAGATTGAGTTTACAATGAATATCATGCAAAACTAACCATTTCTCAACTTCATGCATCCTGAATCAAGGACATTTAGTTATTTCAAGATAATAGGACTTTAATAAAAAGATAAAAAAAATCTTTTGGATAGCGTGTTACATTTTCATCTAGAATGATTTTGTTATTTAATTAAAGTCATGCCTCAGGCTCAGTTACATATTGACTTTTACAGTCATACAAATAATTACATAGATTGGCTAGGATCAAACTTGCTAGTAAAAGTTTGCCATTGTACCATGACAAACAAATGCAACATTGAGGTTGCTGTGACATTGATATATCTCTTAATGGTGATAAATATTGGTTTTGCAAAATGATATATAACAATAAAAATACTTCCCAATTTAGATAGAATATTATTGAACCTTCAATTTTGGGGGAGGATATTTTTATTACAAAATTTAAGTAATCTTCAGTCTGGCAGCAATATAAATTGGTTTTGGATAATTCCTTCAATTTGAAATGAATATCTTATTTCAAGAAGCTTAAGAGTTCAATTTTTACTGTTAGTGACAAAAGTAAAATACTGTTTTTTATTCTAGAGAAAAATGATTCATATTTCCCCAATGAGATTTGAACCCACTTTCAACCTTAGCATTTTGATTATTTTATAATTTACACTTCATATCTTGTTTTTATGTTTTTTGCTGGGGGAGGGAGGCTTTCATTACCTTTCATTTTATTTTTACCCTTTTCTCGCTCTGTTTTTTTTTTTATTTTATTTGAACTTAAATCAGTTTTCTCATGCCACAATTTAATTCACAAATGAATCATCATCATTATTATTATTATTAGTAGTAGTAGTAGTTGTTGTTTCCTACTTTGTATCCCGTGTAATCAGGTTCACACTATGGCCCTTAGGCCCTATAGGAGAATTGTCATTTAATTGATAGCACTTTTCTTAGTATATGGGATGTTCCTAGTAGTGCAATCTTCTGGGCAACATATAGGTTGATGTTACCTAGGGCACTGTTAGTAAAATTATCCTTTCCTTTTTTCACAAGGCACAGATCTCCAGTTACTATTGGGACAGTCAGTTTTCATTCCCCCATGTCCTGTTAATCTCAAGGTCCTTCTATTTGGACAATTTCTCAGCAATTTTCATGGAGGTGTTTCCCTCAAATGGTGCTGCTATATCAATAAGCATACACTTCCTGAATTTCTTGTCTTTTATGATAATAATAATTCTGTTGGCTTTTATTTCCCTGTCAGTTCAAATTGGCATGTCTCAGAGGATTATTGTGTTATTATTTTGGGTAAATGTGTCTGATTGGTGCTCATACCATCTTGTAGGGGTCTTGATTTTGTGCTTCCTGCATGTCTTCCAGTGCACTACCTTATGTCTGTTGGTATATTCATATAGGCATATTAAGCTGTATCTTGAAGTGTGCAGTTTCTTTATCGATGGAGTGCATTTGGTGTTTTACTACTTGTAGGAGAGTGTCATTGTTTTTTGTGAGGTATGCTTCCAGTCCAATTGTTGTAGTTTTTAGAGTTAGTTCCAGTTGGATTAAACCTTGGCCTCCTTAAAGCTCTTGGTACGTACAGCCTATCAATATTTGATTGTAGGTGGTGCATCCTCATTTGGGTAAGCATTTTCTCTGGTCTTAGCATCTAATCTTTTAATCTCATTCAACTTCCATTTAATAATGTTGAAGCTGTATGTTACTATGGGTATAGCTAAGGTTTTGATAGCCTTTATTTTATTGGCCCCCATTAAGTTCGCCTTCTAGTATCAAACACACTCTTCTATAATATTCTTTCCTGATCTTTTTTCTTCCTAATTGAATGTTGTATTCCACCTCCTTCATTAATTCCTAAATATTTGTATCTACCATCTTGGTGCAGTACCTTAATCTTATTATTGCTATCAAGGTCTAAATCCATAGTTTTCGTTAGTTTACAGCCTTTGAAGGTGGCTTTTGCAAATTTATTGATTCCAAACTCTGTCCTTACGTCTTTGCTGAAGGTTTTCAGATCATCAATAAAGAATAGACGATTGTTTGCCATTCAGTGAATTGTATCCATAGCTACTGTTGTTCAGTAGGCAGCTGAGTATCACTAATGCAAGGCAGAAGAGTTGTCGTGATAATGAATCTCCTTAGAAGATCCCACTTTTGATATTGATTGGTCTCGATATTAATGACCCATTTGTATGGTTTAGGTTTAGTGTGGTCTTCCAGTTTTGTATGCTGTCTGTTATGCATTTGACCATTGTGGGGGCAGATTCTCTATATTTTTAGGCTCTTCTTTAGTCTTTCTGTAGTCGATACATGCTATTGATAATTTTCTATCCCTTGTTTTCACCTCTTCCAATATTGTTTTATTGATAATCAGGTGGTCCTGGCATCCGTAACTTCCTCTTTTACATCCGTAACTTCCTCTTTTACATCCCTTCTGTTCTGCTTGGAGTAAATTGTTTTTCTCAAGGAAGTTATATGTCCTCTTGGTTATGATAGATGTGAGGATCTTGTATATTGTTGGTAGGCAGGTGGTAGGCCTATAGTTCTTTGGGTTTTGCATCTGTCTTTGCGGGTAGGTCTGTTACTCCCTACATGAGCCATTTGGGGCTTTTTTCTGGTATTATGATTATATCATTGTATGTATGCCCATGTAAGGATTTGGTGCATATTAGATTTGTTTTTTTTTTTTTAATCTAAAAATTGGCTATTTGGTTTATTCCTGGTGCTTTCTAGTTTTTGGTTTTGCAGATGGCAGCAGTTGTGTCGGTAATATTGATATTCATCCATTTTTGGCACTCTATATGTGTGTGTTGTTGCTTGATCTTTCTGTAAGTCTTTCATTGTGCCTTTTGCAGTTTTTCCACATCTTGTACCAGAACTCCTTGACTTCCTGTATATTAGGTGGGTCATTTATCTCTATTTTATTTTTTCCCAGTTCTCAATATAGTTTCTTGGCATCTTCTTTGAAGATCTTGTTTTGTCACAAAAATCTGTTTTTTTTTTCATATTGCCTCTTTAACTTTTGGTTGGTCAGTCTTACTCTTTATGTCAAGGTTTCATTTCAGTTGTCTCCTTTTTCTTTCTTTCATTTTGGAGCTTTAGTCTACTTCACTTAAGTGACAATTGTTCTCATAGTTTATTTATCTTGGTTTCTATCCTGTCTTTCTAGACTGGCATTTTTCTTTTTCATTTATGTTGTTTTTACTTTTTCACCTAATCTTTCTGCGTTAGTTACCGAGACTGCATATATAAGATGATGAATTTCTGTCAGGTTCATCAGTCTTTACATTTCATCCCTTATTTTTATAATTGCTTGGTTAGCAAAGTTCATGGTTTCTTTCACTTGACAGTTATTTCTTTCTTTTGGAATTGTTGGCCTTTCCTTGAAAGAAATTTCCTTGACATTCTCCCATTTATATCATGTTTTTTGTCATCACTGTTTCACTCTCATATTCATCATTATCTTCCTCTATTTGCTTGTGTACTTCAAAGAGATTATTACAATTAGTTTCTATTTGTTCATCTGCATGTGTTTCCTCAGGGTTGTTGGCATTTGACCTCACAATGTTAACGTTTAATCTATTTTTGATGTTTTCCCAGCTGCTTTCAAGTTCTATGTCAGGTAATTTTATTTTTTCTTGATTTTGTCATGCTTGACATTAACTAGTTTGTTGGCATTGATGTTTAGTCTGTTTCAGGGATGTTTTTCTTGCTAGATATTATTGGCAGCTTTGGTCGTTGTTGCCATTGTCCAATTTATTGTAGCCATGTAAAATGCTATCATTACTTTGATATACTCTTCTCTAGACCATTTATTTATTGTTCTTTTTGTGGGATTTTCTTTCAATGAATAGAGAGGGTCTCTCTCTGGACTGTCCTCAATATGGTTTTCCTCTGGTTCTTGTTTGTTCCAGTTGCAGACTTTTTGATCATAGTGTGGTTCCTCACTGGGGATCACAGTCCTTTTTTACCTGTGTGTCAACCAATGCAGTTTAGCAATATTGGGATCTGTTTTGAAGGTGTGGAGGCCATCAAGAGGGCTGTAATAACAGAGCTAAGGGGCATCCAAGAAGAATCCTTCCAGCAGTATTATAGGAGCATGGCAGAGAAAGATGGAAAAGTGCATTAGGATTACTTTGAAGGGAAAAACTATATAGTTTATTGTTTGGAATTGAATTAAATTGTTTGTGATTCCAGTCCCATTACTTTGCAGACAGACCTTGTATGAATTGTAAAAAAAAAAAATCATGCTTATAGTACTTCTGGCTTCTCTCTATGCAATGACCACAATTACATTTTTTCCCTTGACTGCATGGTACTTTATCTGTTTATATCTTCTGATAGAAAAAAACTTGTAGTCTCTAGTTGAGACCAACTCATAATATATAAAGCAAACACCAACATCATCGTCATCATCATCATGTGACTATTTGTTTATATGTAATAATCTTTTTGATAATGGAGGTTGTGTATCATGCAGGTAAGACTATAAAATGAATATAAGGCACAGAGCTACTATTTACAGGAGTTTGTTACTAATTAAATGCACTATGCTTTTGATTAATACTTTCCAGATTTAAAAATAACAAATGTCTTAAGATATGTAAAATTTTCTTCTTTTAAGTCGTAGAACTTTTTTTTAAATAAGTGCAGAGTCTCTCCACATGTCATGAAAAGGAAATGCATGTACACAAACCAATACAAATTTATATATCAATTTTGTTAGCATATGTGGCATTAATGTAAGGAATATATATATATATATATGTGTGTGTGTGTGTGTTTGTACGTGAAAGAGCTGAAAGTAATGACATTATTCAGCCATTGCTTCTATTTTTGCAATCAATTTATTATATAACTCCCACTGCTACTACTGCTGCTTTCATTAATATTTAAATATTATTAAGGCTTACAGCTGTATCATGTTGAAAACACCAGTTCCTTTGTGATCACTAAAGTTAAGCAACATTGAGCCTGGTCAATACCTAGATGGTTGACCACTTGGGAATATCAGGTGCTGTAAGCTTTGATGTGCAGGTGATACAATGGGTAATGGGTTGGAATTGGACATTGGAGAGCTGAGTTCCAATTCCAGTCAGGTTTGTTATATTCACTTAAGTGCAAAAACCCTTGAGAAAGGTATGAATCCACTCCTTCTCCCCTCAGCTGTGGGTTAATTAGTAGAAATTGTATCATTAAATCATTATCTCCACAAAAAGTACTTACAAGCTGAAAATATTTTCTAGCTTTAAATAACCTGCAAAATGTTGATGAATCATAACAAACAAATCAATGAATCAAATATTAATATCATAACTTATTTCGAATACTATGATTCTCATAATATTGAAATTGTTACTTTTATTTTCTTTCAATTTAAATTATTATTGCTATTTTCATTATTGTCAGTTCCACTATATTTAATATTTTATATATATATATATATATATATATATATATATATATATATATATATATATATATATTTTTTTTTAGGCATTTAAAACAACATACCTGGCCACGTACACAATTCCAGAAAATCCTCGTTGAAAACACAACTATACTTAAACATGAAAACAATAAACAAAAACTAAAAATTCTTGAAGCTATATACATAAAACAGTTGAAACCTAACCAAAATAAACTATGAAATCTCCACAAATATTCTTAAATGCCTATAATTGATAACTGAAGCCATTGGTTTATACCAACGGCTTCCCATACTTAATGCTTCTTGTTTCACTCTCGTGTCGTCATGTGTGACATCACGAGCTGCGATGTGATTTTTGCTTCTGCGTCTCGTATACACACGAGTTTGTTGTTGCCTCGAAATTTTTCATGCAACAAAAACAGACTATCATTATTATTTCGTCCGTGTATTGTTTAATATATTGAAATGTAATTGTCATCTTTGATAATGGATTATGTAAGCTGAAAGCTTAGATCGGATTTAAACATGTATCAATATGGTGATTTCCTTTCATCTTTCAGTAATAATGTTATTAAGCTTATCAGACAATATGAAAGAAACTTACTTAAATAGACAAAACTTGTCTATATTATTTAATGAAACATGCATCAATGAAAAATTGCTGCCTAAATATACACAATATATTTATATGTGTATGTATGTATGCATGCTTAAATATACACTATATATATATATATATATATATATATATATATATATAATAAAAAATGTATTCTGCTACATTATTGCTATAGTTTCTGCTGCTGTTGTAGTTTCTACTACTCTCAAATGTATGTTGCCTTTTGTGTCTGTTGAGAAGCAACTGTAAATATATTGTTCTATTATATGGATATAAAATAAACTTGAAACACAAAGAAAAAGAAAAAAATGCCATGAAAAACTCTAATTTGGTAATATTCCAGGTTTTCTAATTGTTTCAAAGTCTTGGACCAAAAACATTTATTAAGTGCTGGTTGTTGTTTAGCTATAGTGGTATTCAAAGGTTTTTGAAAATGCAGCCAACCCCCATTGTCCAGAGAGGTCTTTTTATTATGCTGCCAGTACCTTGGTTAATTTTTCTTTTGTCTGTCTTCATTATACATTGGTTCATTGCCCTGCAAAGAATGGCTCCCTTGTGCCTCTATCAATGCATAAATATTTCTTTTGGGATCGGATGCTTCACACCATCAGTATTCTAGGTTCCCTGATTTGCATTGCCAAATTACAATTTGGCAATGGAATGGTATGTATTCTTCACTCTCTCTCTCTGTCTTGTTCTTTCAATTTCTTTTTGTCAAACAATTGTATTTTTTTTTTCTTCTTTCAAGTACTTGTAAGATTTTTGGAGTTGTTTCTATATTATTTTTGGATTTCACTAGAATTATCAGAGGCTGATGTTTCCAAAGTTTGAAAGTATTCTTAATTATTTTGACGTATTTTTGCTTTTTTTTTTTTTTTTTAAATAAATTTATGGTAACAAGTTTCAGAATATGATTTTGACTGGTTGAGTTGTGGTTTTTCTCATATTTGTTGATGTTGTCATTATCCTGTAGATGCAGTATTAAATCTTTATTTATAAAAGAAAATTTTTTTTTTTTTTTTTTTTTAATGTATAAATGGTAAAATGCTAATTTAAAATAAAGTTGTAGTTTTGCTTATGTCTTGACACAATATAAATTATCTTGATTTTTCAGCAATATTTATTCAAAGATACAATTTTCAACTTGATTATAACAAATTGTATGAAGCAACAGAATTTATTTTTCCATCATTTTTAGTTTTTAATTCATATTTGCATTTTCTGTAGAAAATGTCTTTCAAAATTTTCTTGAAAATTGATTACTTTTTCTATAATCTTATTATTTTCATTAAAGTCTGCCACAAAAAAAAAATCAATTTTTTAATTTTTTACCAACTAGTATATTTACTGTTTCTAGTTTTTGAAAATACAAGTTTACATAAAGTTTATATATAAATAATTAAGATATTTAATATATTTGTTTTTCTTGCTCTCATAAACTGGAAAAGTTTGGTTGGTGTATATTTATGCATGAAATATATAAGCATGTACATTATTTATCTTATGCATGGAATTTTTGAATGATTAAAACTTTCTTGCACCGTTTTTGAGTGACAGCATTTATTTTCTGAAATGCTGTTTAGGGTCTGTTTACTACTTAAATTTATTTTGCTAAGAATACAAATTTTCCTTAAAGGTATAAATTGTATTTTTATTTTGATGATACTGAACAATATTTTAATTGTAAAAATAACAAAGGCAGTTGTATCAAATGCTTTTTGGTTTCTTTATCTTTTGATTTTTTTTTTTTAATATTTTCATTCGGTCTATCTCTCCCTTTTATGTCTTTGTTGGTTGCTATGGCATATAAAAAATTCTCTTTGGGCGAAAGATTTCAACAAAAGTGTTTGTTAAAGGAACTGGCTGCCATGTTTTATATAAACAAATGCCTCAAATTGTTAAGTTTACAAAGAATGGTTGTTTTTATTTCTTTTAATATTAAAGATTTATTTTTGAATTATTACAGTATTTTAATAAGATCTTGAAAAATGTGCCTTGTTTTTATGAATGTGAATTTCTTTGTTGCCAAATAAAATAGCAATTTTTTTCAATATTATTTGTTCCATACCTTTTATTGGTAACATCCATCTCCTTGAATATATTTACATGGACTGTTTGAAAATCTGATTACTGCTCAGAAAGATAAATTTGTGCATAAAACTTAATTTTTAATTTATTAGGCAGATTGAGACAATTTTTAGTCAAATCATTTAAATCTGTTTTCATTAGAAGGATGCTTATTGTACTTCTCCCATTTTACAGTTATTTGAAGAGATTGACATTTGTGTTTAAATTGTATCAAAGTTTTTACTATTAATTTAGTATTAATTACTGAAGAACTCCATGTCTTTGTTCCAATAGATAATTCCCTACTTAGAACATTGAATAGGAAGTTTTTTGTTTATATTTCAATCTCTTGGTGAAAGTTTGACTATTTTTTTATTTGTTAAAAATGTGAAGTTTTTCTGAAATCTTTGATATTTAAATATGATTATCAATCTTTATAAAGAGTAAAATGCATTTGTCACAAAATATCCATCTATTTGTATCTGTGCCTCTTTTAGCATGGAAAGGTATTTGATTGTTTTTGTTGCAGACACCAAATTTTAGATAGTCATCTAAGTTCCATTCTCTTCCTCTTGGGACACAAGTGCCAGTCTGTTTATGATCACCAAATACTTAATAAATCTGATATGAAAAATGTGATACCTAAGATTTAAAATGAATTTTTAAAAATTAAAAATCTTTCTTGAGACTTTTATTTTAGTTTTAATTTTGAGCTAATAGATTAAATTTAATATTTTCAATAAGCAAAATACTTTACACTGTTTCAAAATCTACTTAAATTGACTGGAAGGAAATTTTTTTTGCTAAAATATTTGATTAGTGCCCTTTTTTATCCATTTTCCATGACAATGTAGTTCTCTTTAAAAAATCTTCCAAATAAAATATACTTTTCTGAAAATTTATTTGAGGAATATTGGCTGATTTAAAGTATAATTAATTTGATTTGAAACAAATATTTACTTTAAGTTTAAAATATTGCAGAAATGCGTTTTTTTAACCTGACAGAAGCTGTTTTGACATATTGACAACCTGATGACAGATCTAATATTGTTCTACAGAGACTTCATTGGTAAAATATAATTTAAGAAAAATGACATGTGAACATTTTTATCTAATTTTTAAGTACTCTCTAGTCTTAAAAATTTAGTAAAATATTCTCTGTAATCTAATGTTATATTGAATTTTAGAAATGTTGACTTTAAATTTACTATACTGGTAATGTTGTGTATGGTCACCCATACTTAGAAAAATTGGCACATTTATACACTTACAAAAAAGATTCTTTTAAAAATATTGGTATTTGATGATTTAAGCTTTTCCATTTCTGATTTGTAAATATAGTTTTCACTTAATAATATCACCTAAAAATACTGAATTTTAAGATTTAAAAAAATAATAAAATACTTTGTCTCTTTCCTCTTAATAATAATGCAGACATTTTGCTGATAAAAACTGTTTTTTATCAAGTTTGAGGTATTTTTTTTTTGTCAGGGTATGTTTGGCTTATTTTTTTGTGGAGGTACCTGTTCTTGTGGTATACAATCTTCAATACTGAATTAAAGAAAGAACATTGAAAAATAGTTCTTTGTATTTAAATTTAGTGTGAACATAGATATGATAAAAACTTTTTTTTTTTAATTTTTTTTTTTTACTTTGAATCAAACTGATACACTAATATATAAAGTAATACTGATGTCCAAAGTTTGTGAGGGAACACTAAATAAATCAGTGCAGGATAATGATAATTCCTCATTTTAGAAATTCAGACTGGATTTGTTTGTTATAAGTAAAATTTGATCTTTCTTGATTTTATTGAAGAGGAAGAACTTTGAATTTTCTGAGTTTGTGAACATTTTTTGAGTCACATGTCTCTGTTTCCTTGACTTCTAAGTCTTCATCCATTTCAG